AAAAAAAAAAAAAAAAAAAAAAAAAAAAGACCTGTCAGCTGACAACTCAATTAGATCCTTAAGTTTTACTGAAAAAAAAAAAAACTGACATGACTTGGGAAAGAATTTTTTCTCAACTCACTTCTAATCAAATTTTCCTTTTAGCATCTCAAAGATTTTTATATACCAAAGTAAAGTACCATAGTACTATTTCGTGCGGATAACAGGTATGCCTGTGTTGAATAAAGCAAGAGAAGTGCGATTCTGAACAGGCTGATAGGAAAGAAAAAGTCCACATCTCCATCAGAGATGGAGGCACGGTTATAAACAATTTACAGATCAGATCGAGGAAAAAATGTAATTACAGATCAGATTAAGGAAAAAAATGCAGATAGAAGTTAGAGATTTGAAAATTTATTCTCTTAAAAGTGTTCATCCTTTCACTGGGTTAGAATATAAAATACCACTTAGAGTGCAGTTTGGAATTAACATGTCAAAAAGCCAAATGCGCAAACCTTTGAGCTAGAAATTCTAAGTATTTATAAAAGTATAAATGGGGCCAGGTGATGCCTCACCTGGCCTGTAATCACCCTCACCACACCTGTAATCCCAGCACTTTGGGAGGCCGAAGTCGGAGGATCGTTTGAGGCCAGAAGCTTGAGACTAGCCTTGGCAACATAATGAGACCTTGTCTCTTTAAAAAATTTTTAAAGAGCCTGTGGTTCCAGCCACTCACAAGGCTGAGGCTGGAGAATCGCTTAAGCTTAGGAATTTGAGGCTGCAGTGAACTATAATCACGTCACTGCACTCCAGCCTGGGCAACAGAGTAAGACTCTGTCTCAAAAAAAAAAGTGTAAGTGGAGACATTACAAAAATTTAAAATTTTTATTGCAGCTTTACTTACAGTAGTAAGTAAAAAAATTTTATTGCAGCTTTACTTACAGTAGCCAAAAGTGAGAAACAACCTAAATGATAGTCAATCAAAGGACTGTTAAATAGAATATGAAATACTGTCTGTAGCCATGAAAAACAGTTAAGTAGACACAGAAGGAAGTTCATGGTATCCTATTAAGATGAAAATAAAACTAGTTGCAGAAATATATCTCCATTAAAAAATGAAAACTATATATGTGAGGTGCATATTCACTTACGTACATATGTA